AGTGAGACGACAGAACCACGACACTTGGCTACAACCTGGTATTAGTGAGACGACACAACCACGACACTGGGCTACAAGCTGGTATTAGTGAGACGACAGAACCACGACACTTGGCTACAACCTGGTATCAGTGAGACGACAGAACCACGACACTTGGCTACAACCTGGTATTAGTGAGACGACACAACCACGACACTGGGCTACAAGCTGGTATTAGTGAGACGACACGACAACAAGAAGAAGACTTGTGTATTAACAGACTTCTTCGCATTACTTCTCAAACCAACATCACCATTTCCTGGCTACTGTACGGTTTTACTTCAGAAGTTTGCCATTGGTTTCCTGAACGGTACACCGCTAATTCCGATGCTAAAATTACCACAAAGCGGTCTTACACCAAATCGCATGCTGCTGACTTGGAAAGTCGTACGTTGAGATTGTGAAACTTGACACCTTCCTGGAATGTTGACAAACACACAGAGACTGACCGAATATAAACGATGTAAGAAGCGATGGAAAGGTTAGTAAGGAAAAGGCATAGGTGGACAAGATGGGATAAGAAGGGACGGGCATAGTTCAACAAGAGGGAATAACAGGGAAAGTACAAAGCTGAACAAGAATGAATAACATGGAAAGAACATAGCTGAACAAGAATGACTGATAAGAAATGGACATAGCTGAACAAGAAGGAATAATATGAACCAAGATACATAGACTGTAATGACCACAAGTCACATGAAAAGAAAAGAAAGTTAGCCATATAACCAACCATGCATGTCGTAAGATGCGACTAAAAAGGCTTGATTGAGACTGGTTGCATATTTCAACCAATCAGGAACAAGCATACGATGTAACTTTCTTCTTCTTCTTTGAGTTGACAACCTGTAAACTGCGCCCGAATACTGTGTCCATTTCTGGACTTGAGATTTGTCCTAATACTTAATTACTGCGTGCACATTCATTTTACAGATCTAGATTATATATATATATATATATATATATATATATATATATATATATATATATATATATATATATATATATATATATATATATATATATATAATGGCATCCGTCAGTCCCGGGGGACTATGGAGATGTGCCGCTGGCTTTGGGAACAGCATCTGCTGTGACTGTAAAGTCCGATGCGGGAGTGGCAGTCTTTGCCACACAGGATACACACAAAAGCAGATACTCCCTCGTTGTGAGGCAGTTTTACTCTCCGGTGCCTCCTCTCCACAGCTCGTTGTGTTCGGTTTCTTTCAAAATGTGACAGTCCCATCTTTCACTTTCTGTCTCCATAGTAGTCGATCTGCAGCTGATTTTTCCCATGTCTCTGTGCCTATGTTGGTGTCTATTAGGTCACGTTTGCATACATCTTTATAGCGCAGCTTTGGCCTTCCTGTAGGTCTATTCCCAGTTACCAATTCACCATATAGGAGATCTTTTGGAATACGACCATCCTCCATGCGGGAGACATGTCCCAGCCAGCGCAGACGTCTTTGCTTCAGTATACAATACATTGATGGTATTTTTGCTCTTGTCAGCACACATTCGTTGGAGACAAGGTCTCGCCATAATATCCCAAGGATGCGTCTCAGACAGCGCATGTGGAAGGTATTCAGTCTTTTTTCCTGTGGAGCATAGAGTCCAGGATTCGCAGCCGTACAGTAATGTGCTCAGGACACAAGACTCATAAACCTTCATTTTTGTATATATATATATATATATATACACATTAATAAATAAATATATATATATATATATATATATATGGACTTTGGATTCCTTGAAGCAGATGCACTCAGACTTCGAAGGAAACCCCCTAATTTACTCTTACGACATGCTTGTTAAGAAAGCCGCAGGCCTATTTTTTTCCAAATCAACAATAGGGCCCTGGAACCCACAGGAGGTGAGGAGAGAGATGTATCACCCCCCCCCCCCCCCATGGACCCCGTCTCACCTGGGCGCAGTGGACGATTCTGGCTCCATAGCGAGGTCCCCAGACGGCTGCAGCAATCTCCACATAACTGGACCTGACGCGAACCTTGTGTCCCATGGCATCCAGGTCGTAAAGGCAGTCAACGAGGATGTTGCCGGTGTGGCAGCAGATGTAGGCCACCAGCACCATGGCCACAACGGCCCAGTAGCCGCCCTGCAGCACCGTGTATGGGAAGCTGACAATGAACATGCCCTGCAAACAACAACGAGACAAGTGTATTGATATTTGGCACGACGACATGGAGAATTCTGGCAGCACTGTTGCCACCATCACATGGAACGTACTAATTAGTTACCTAAGCTGTTTTGTGATTCTGTTGTCTTGTCCGTTGATGAAGACTTTGGTCGAAATATTCGGTTGAAATGATACGCTTCTTTTTAATTCCTCCAGCGTCGCTTTCTAGTTATAGCTTCTGTTGTATTTAGTACTAATTAACAACATTTTGACAGGCGGCCTTTTTTTTGGATGTGATTTATGTTTTTGCCCCAGGATCTGTTTAGCTTAGAAACTTTACGAAGGTTAAACGGGATGAATTCAAGAACGGGGTATCAATCAGCAGTTGTAAGACAAATAAATTGGCGACAGAACAGGTACAACTCGAGAAGACGCCAGCAGCGAATCGCCAAACAGGCATTGAGATAGGGAACAAATAGACGAAGACGTCAAAGAAAAACCACAATAGGAGCGTTAATGGGATGGCCACATATACTAGCCTGGATCCCACTCATTCTATTGAAATGTTTGCACAGAATTCAACGGAATCGAGGGATAGACTGTGAGCCCAACGTGACGTTTGTTGGCAGTGAAGAAAAGATGATGGCGACTTGTTTAGTCTGGTCACATCCATTATCATCAGTTTCAACTCTTTATTCATGCATAACTACCGGTGACACGTCAGTGTCAGTGGCTTTGGGATTGTGAATGCGGTTTCATAATTTTATCATGCCGAGTTTGGTTTAGCTGCAGACAATCTGGCAACACACAGCTTCGCGTTGATTTCGACAGTGACATGGGCGTCGACTAATTATGGAGCAGTGGCTAAATTCTGAATAGAAAATTTTCTTGCGAGAGCATAAACAGCCAACACGTGTTGAGGTTGGGTTAACGGCCTTGTAAAGGATTAACATGTGGACGGGATGTGTGTGTGTGTGTGTGTGTGTGTGTGTGTGTGTGAGAGAGAGAGAGAGAGAGAGAGAGAGAGAGAGCGAGAGAAAAAGAGAGAGTTTGAAAAATTAGGTAGATTTTTTTTTATGTTTAAAAGCTTGCAGTTATCAAAATCACATGAACATTTTCCCCGTGTGGGTTCTGGGGTCCCATTGTGGGGGAGAACAGGGAATAGACCAGCTGCCCCCCCCCCCCCCCCAACAAGCGTGTCGCTGGAGTCGATGAATTGCCGGATTCCTTCAAAGTGGGAGTACATCTGCCTGAGTGGCCAGGAACAACCAACTGCACACAAATAAGCCAGTAAAATAAATGTACACCCAAATTTCAAGCCCTGGAACAAAGCCAGAATCCAAATGGACGAACAACCAGGACCTTCCGCTGGAGCTTACAGCCGATCAACAAAGAAGAAGACGAAAACCTACCCACTTGACAATCATGCTCTAATTTATTCGTCATCTATCCATTTTTTCATCAATTTTACATGTCACATTGTCCAGCATGATCACATGCCAGTTTGAATGTCAACATTTTATGCCCATTTGGCCGTTCCCAATGTAGGGAAATGAAAAAAAAAATTTAGACTTATTTCAGTTGGTCTAAGTGTTTTTTAGTGCGGGGACGTCGATTCTTCACAGGCCTGATCATCTTGACCATTTAATGGTGTTCTTGTATCGAATGACTGAGGTCAGCGTCGAAGGACGCCAGTATGGGAAATCGAAATCGGGCAGAGAGAGAGAGAGAGAGAGAGAGAGGGGCACAGAGAGAGAGAGAGAGAGAGAGAGAGAGGGGACACAGAGAGAGAGAGAGACAGAGAGAGAGAGAGTGAGAGAGAGACAGAGTGAGAGACAGAGTGAGAGAGAGACAGAGAGAGTGACAGAGAGAGAGAGAGTGAGAGAGAGAAGGGCACAGAGAGAGAGAGAGAGAGAGAGAGACAGAGAGAGAGAGTGAGAGAGAGACAGAGGGAGAGACAGAGAGAGACAGAGAGAGAGAGGGGCACAGAGAGAGACAGAGAGAGAGTGAGAGAGAGACAGACAGAGAGTGAGACAGAGAGAGACAGAGAGACAGAGAGAGAGACAGAGAGTGAAAGAGAGAGGGGCACAGAGAGAGACAGAGAGAGGGGCACAAAGAGAGAGACAGAGAAAGAGAGCGAGAGAGAGACAGAGGGAGAGACAGAGGGAGAGACAGAGAAAGAGACAGAAACAGAGAGAGGGGCACAGAGAGAGAGACACAGAGAGAGAGAGAGAGTGAGAGAGAGAGTGAGAGAGACACAGAGTGAGAGAGAGACAGAGAGAGACAGAGAGAGAGACAGAGACAGGGAGAGACAGACAGAGACAGACATAGAGACACAGAGAGAGAGTGACAGAGAGAGAGTGACAGAGAGAGAGTGAGAGAGAGACAGAGAGAGACAGAGAGAGAGACAGAGACAGGGAGAGACAGAGACAAAGAGAGGGACATAGAGACACAGAGAGAGAGAGTGACAGAGAGAGAGTGAGAGAGACACAGAGAGACACAGAGAGAGACAGACAGGGAGAGAGACAGAGAGACAGAGAGGGAGAGAGACAGAGAGAGACATAGAGAGTCAGTGAGAGAGAGGCAGAGAGAGAGTGAGAGAGGGACACAGAGAGAGACAGAGAGAGACAGAGGGACAGAGACAGAGAGAGAGAGAGTGAGAGAGAGAATGAGAGAGGGAGTGAGAGAAAGAGAGTGAGAGAAAGAGAGTGAGAGAGCTAGTGAGAGAGAGAGTGAGAGAGAGAGTGTGAAAGAGAGTGTGTGAGAGAGAGAGAATTAGAGTATGAGAGAGAGCGAGAGTGAGAGAGTGAGAGTGAGTGAGAGAGAGAGAGAGAGAGAGAGAGAGAGAGAGAGAGAGAGAGAAGAGAGAGAGAGAGAGAGAGAATGTGAAAATCGGGACGCGTCTTCAGTTCAGTAAATAATCTGATTTAATGGCTACCGTTACCAGTGTCGCTGGAGATTTGAGGTTCTGCTTCTGGCTCTTCTGGTCGTCTCGACCACAGACACAGTGTGCTCTTGTAGAGTTTCTTTGATCTGATCTTCCATCTTGCTCTTGGTCTACCTGTTCTTTAATCCCTTCTCATCTGTTCGTGTATGCCTTGTTTTGTGGTATAGTGTCGCAAGGCATTCTCCCTAAGTGGACAAACCATTTGATGTGCTTGCTGTCTTTGTATGTACTTTGGAATTGGTTCAGGCTGCCGACAATGCTAGGCGGTGAAGGGGAAGCCATTTCACAAGTTGATTAAAATTACAGATCCGGTTTGTGCTTTTCTCACGCACTTGACATGCGGCCAAGTCAACAAGGTAAAATTATGAAATCCATAATTAAAAACGAAAAACGTAAATACTATAACTAGAGAGAAAACGAAACAATTATGTTTATTAGACACATTACTGGCTGTCCGTTGGAAGTTTTAGGTGGTCTAATAGCCGGTACTGGTGTCAAGTGTGCGCAAAGTTTCATCCAATCAGGTTCCGTCTCCACAATGAAGGTTGGTTGAAATGGATCTCCAACATTCTCTGTCACTTGTCTTGGTTGTACACTCTCTCAGACATCTCTTGATGTTCTCCTCCCACTTGTTTTATTGTCTACCTCTTACTCTCTTGCCTCCCACGTTTCCCTCCAGTGTGGTTCTTAAAAGCGTGTTATGTCTCTTAATGTGCATGAAATCTTTCAATTATCTCTGGTTTATTTCTTTCAGCGAGTCTCATTTCATTCGCCCCTCTACAGAACCTCGGTTTTTGATTATTCTTGTTTCCCCGAAAGACGAACCATTCTTCTGGATATCCACATTGCCAGAGACTCAATTAAATTGTCTAGTTGCTGGTTCATTGTCCAAGTTTCTGCACCACACACAGGGCTTAAATACACATAACATCTGACGATTCTGAATTTTTATGCGTTGTTTATCTCTCTGGCTGTCGATAATTTTCGCATTTTATTGCAGATAGTTTTAAACATTTCTATTATCTGTTGGGCTATCCTCTGAATATCGGGCGCAAAATATGGCGGCCAAAAATAAGGTCTCAGTCACGTGTCAATTGCGCACTTCCGGCGACTTAATTTACGGTTTTTCGGCGATTACCACCACCGCCAAGAAAAGCTGCAGGAGATGCGGAAGGTGCTTCTCGTGAGTCCCAGCCATCTAGTTTAGCCCCAATCCACGCCGCGTGAGCGGCGTGGGGACTCTAGGCGGTGGCGGTAATCGCCGGAAAACCACAAATCAAGTCGCCGGAAGTGCGCAATTGAACCGTGACTGAGGCTCTGTTAGGATCTTTTTGCGGCCGCCATCTTTTGTACCCGTTATTCGGAGGATAGCAATCTTTTGATTTCTTTTTCACTTTTGCCATCATTTGTTATTACATGTCCAAGACCAGAAAACCTTGTTACTTGTTCTAATATCTCTCTGTTCAAGGCGTTGCTCGCTGTTGGTTGTTTATAGTCGTAGTTAATGATTACTTTTTGTTTTTCGAATGCCCATCGCATAATTTAGGATACGGTACTAAGGTAAGGAAGTTAGTTCCCCTACTCGTCGCCAATTTTCCCCAGGCACCGAGGGAAGAGGAAAAAAAAGGAGGGGGGGGGGAAGGAAGAAATATTTAAACTGTCGGATACACATCTCTTTGTGGATATGTCCACCCCAGAATTGTACAGACAAAGAAAACCCATCCTACATCTGCTGGGGTTTGAACTTCAACATGTGTTGTGCAAGCAAGCACTTACAAGTTATTTGTCTCAAGAGTTTACTAGTAAAATACAACCAAAGCAGCTTCTCGCATTCTCCCTTTTCGACAACAAAAACAATAACAAAAAGACCAACAACAACAACACTTGGAAAACAATTATTAACCTCTCATTTTGTAGGGATTTCAAAATTCCATTTTACCATGAAAAATCTCAAACAGGCATTAAATTACCAGAGTGGCCAGATTTGATAAGATCGACCGACTAAAGTGAGTGCATTCAGTCAGTCACTGGGGGCGGCCGCGTCTGGGGGACGTCTCAAAAGGTGCCACATGATCACACGTGGGATCTGCGAACCCAATCAAGAGAATGTGTGATTGGTGTTCGATTTTCATGCGGTGCTTAGTCGCTAAATCCCAAATAGAGTAGATGATCGATGCCACTGGCGTAATTACAGAGGCTGAATGATCACAGGGTGTTTTTGTTCAAATCTGCCGCTCTGGCATTCGGCCATGGAGCTTCCAGAAATCTTCATTTAACGATTATTTGGAAAAAATAGGCACGGTTTGAGCGATCATTTGAAATGAGGACCAAGTTATCACTACTTGATGCCTGCAACAGTCGTAAACTAGAACCAACTGAAACAACATAAAAAATATATTTACAGATATTAATCGGCACTCAAAGTAGTAACAGAAAGAAGTTCACACAGGATAGTACAGAAGTAGAAAGCTTTAGTCACAAGGATGCAGTTACATTAAGGATTTGGTGAAACGATGATTCAGTCACACCAGCATTTAGTGACACGAGGATTTAGTGACACGAGGATTCAGTGACACGAGGAGTCAGTGACACGAGGATTTAGTGACACGAGGATTCAGTGACACGAGGATTCAGTGACACGAGGATTCAGTGACACGAGGATTCAGTGACACAAAAATTCAGTGACACGAGGAGTCAGTGACACGAGGATTCAGTGACACGAGGAGTCAGTGACACGAGGATTTAGTGACACGAAGAGTCAGTGACATGAGGATTCAGTGACACGAGGATTCAGTGACACGAGGATTCAGTGACACGAGGATTCAGTGACACGAGGATTTAGTGACACGAGGATTCAGTGACACGAGGATTCAGTGACACGAGGATTCAGTGACACGAGGATTCAGTGACACAAAAATTCAGTGACACGAGGAGTCAGTGACACGAGGATTCAGTGACACGAGGAGTCAGTGACACGAGGATTTAGTGACACGAAGAGTCAGTGACATGAGGATTCAGTGACACGAGGATTCAGTGACACGAGGATTCAGTGACACGAGGATTCAGTGACACGAGGATTCAGTGACACCAGCATTCAGTGACACCAGCATTCAGTGACACAAGGATTCAGTGACACGAGGATTAAGTGACCCGAGGATTCAGTCACACAAGGATTCAGTCACACAAGGCTTCAGTCAGGCGAGGATTCAGTCACACAAGGATTCAGTCAGGCAAGGATTCAGTCACACGAAAACTCAATGACATGAGGATTCAGTCACCCGAGGATTCAGTCACACAGTGATTAGGAATCGATCATACAGCTTCTAAATGACTGCAGTGTCACAGAGATGTAACATCTGTGCTTCGACGTATGACTGACATCCCAAGGATTGTCGCCCCTCTCCACATCCGTGAAGAAGCTTGGGTATCGATTTTTCATACACCACTGGTTGTAGGCTTGGCGACTGACTGGGGAGCTCTGCAATATAGGCCACCCCCCCCCCCCTTTCCCGCCGAGGATAGGACTTCAGTATCTGGTCAGGTGGTTAGCCTAACACCCCAACCCTATCCGACAAATTTAAGGACTTCCCAGGTCTCAGAGGACCTTATCATCTAGGCAGTAGGCTGGTGTAAGAAAAGAACTCATATCTTTGAGAGATCTTCCGGCCAATCTGCATCCATATAAAAGATCCAGTCTCCCGGACACAGGAAAGTCAAACGTAAAACTGAACCAAGGACTTTACAGTGGTGGATGGCATAGTAAGGTAATGTATGTTAATTTAGATTCTAGTTCTTCAAACCCAAAGGTTTTGTGAAGGGGACACACCAGGACGGGAATGAGAACGAAGAAAGAAATCACCGCAGAAAGGAAGAGAGCTTAGCGTCTAAGAAGAATCAGGCTAAACACAAATGTTGACAACAAATGTCCTGAAATCCCATGCTATCATTGTGGATGAGCTTTCTTAACGCAGGCGGGTCTTGCTACTCCCACTCGCCATCGCCATGGGCTGTGAGTCCCATGCTTACTCATATGACAATACAACACTATCGTCTGCAAAGACGGAATGGTGCAATCAGTTCTTCAAGATATAGCCTATTTGATGAGACACCATTGATTAGGGTTGTCGTAATTCTGCCATTTTGCAGACGCGTCTTAATTTCCGAATATTTCTCAGCGCTCTCCAGGAAAAGGCGTTGGGTCACCCTACCACTGATGCAACACAACGCGTATACTGACCTGAATAGCATTAGTGACGTTCCAGCCAGCCTGCCACTCTGTGATCTTGTCACGTGGGTCGCCATCAACTTCCGCTTCCTCGATGGCCATATCGTCCTGACAATGACTCCAGCCATTCTCACCCGCCTTTTTCCGGAAATGCTCGTCTGTATCATCGTCTGCCGAGGTCGAAAAATGCGAGAATTTTCCATTTTTCATTGGATGTGATTCATACTCCCCGTGATCCTGAAAAAAAGATATTCATGACATTCAAAGACATGAAAAAGATCAACGTTCTCTAATGCCCGAAAATGTGTTCTTCCGTTACGAAATGTTGTCTTGGCGGCGGTATGATCTTTTGGATTCATTACTGAGAAGGTATTTGTATTGTGTCGCTGCATGCACACGGTTTTGCTAGGATGTTCCACATTATTCAAGTCAACACTGGTCAGAAAAGACAAGTAAAAAGACGTTTACACACACACAAACTTAACGCTTCGACCACAATCTTTTTCAAAGAATACAGGCTAACATAGACAGATCTAAGTTTTCTGCTGTGTTTGTGACCGTCTTATACTGGCTGCTGATTGAGCTTCAAAGACCTGGTGTGTGTGTTGTATTTAGTAACTTTTTGCTAACAGCTTGATAGCGACGACCCCAATTTCCGTCATCACTGGTCCCCAAAAAAAAAAAGTGAATGGATCTTGCTAGTCACACACGCAATCGCCAGGAGCTGTATTTCCCAAGCATCCATATAGCACAATATAACACCAGTCTACTCCCATGATACCTTAGCATTTGACAAAGTTTAACATGAAGATGATCAAAATGTTGGAAGACATCAATTTTGAGAAGACATCAGTTTAGACGGGAAAGATCTCAGAATAATTTTACAAATTCACTGGAACCAAGTAGCAGCAGTTAAAGTATGAAACAGATTGGCTACTTTCAAACAGATAAAGCAAGGAGTAAGACAGGGATGTGTCTTATCCCCAGACTTTTTCGCGCTATATAGTGAAATAATTATGTCGTGCAGTGTTGTGGTGCCCGTATGTGATTAAAATTGATCGCGTGGGCAACTGCTGATCTGTTGGCGATTTCTGCTACAATCAATGATGAATTGCAATTCTAATACTGTGATAAACATTCTGTGTGTTTTTCGTTGGCACAGGAGCGGAGCAAAGATGGGGTGACCCGTTTGCTATGAAGCTGAAACTAAGACTACCAGACTACCAGAAATAATTCTGAGGGAAATTAAAGAGAATGCAGGATTAGGAGTTGGACACAATTTAAACAATTTGCATTATGCAGACGATACAGTTTTAACAGATGAAGATGCAGCTGATTGACAACAACTGCTGGAGATTGTGCGGATGGAGGGTGCTCAGAAAGGTCTTTCGTTGAATATTAAGAAAAAAGAAGTAAGGGTTATATCAAAGAAGAAGATAATTCCACATTGTGATATCTCAATTGATGGGACAAGACTTAACCAAGGCAATAAATTCAAGTATCTGGTAACAATCAGATCATCAGATGGAAAAAGTGTGACAGAGATTAGAAGCAGAATAGGTGAAGCAAAAGCTACATTTCAGAAAATGAAAAATATCTTATGCAATAAATCGCTTTAATTTGATGTCAGAAAGAGGGAGCTAAAATGTTACATAGAACCTGTTGTGCTGTATGGCCGCGAATCTTGGAATATCAGTGAACAAATGAAGAAGAATTTGGAAGCAACAGAGATGTGGTTTCTGAGACGAATGTTACACATACCTTGGACGGCCAGAGTAACTAACAACGATTGCTTTAAAGAGGCTAATGAAAGTAGATCTCTATATACAGCAATAAGAAAGAGACAAACACTGTTTTTTCGGTCACATAATGAGAAGAGAGACATTGAAGAACATCGTGACAACTGGAAAGATCAGTGGGAAAAGGGGTAGAGGCAGACCAAGAGAGATGAAGCTGAATGGGCTGAAACGTTGGCATGGAGGGATATCACCAAGACAGCTGTTCCAGGCATCCAGGGATCGTGATCTGTGGAGACACATGAGCGCCCACGCCAGTTGGCCTTGATTACCACGCCACGCCACACCCCCTCCTTCCCCCTTGACAAAATATGTCAGTTTGCACATCTAGCAGAATTGAACTCTGCCGCCTGGAAAGACAGAAAGGTATTAACAAACACCCAACATACAGAACCCTGGAGATCCCAGTCTGGCTGTGACTGGAGACAGTTCGTCACTAGAGGAGTATGACAGGTGACATGATCAGACGACATCAACACAAACTTTAGTCTTTTATCATGTTAATGATTGTGGATGACCTCTGACCTGTTCATGTATTTTCTCCTATCTCCCAGATCTTTTACAATCTGCTCCCTTTTTCCTCAACATTATTGTTAAAATCATTTGTAATGTTTCTAAAGAATCTGAAATTCACACTTAAAACCCTTTTTTGCAGGCTAGCAATGTGTTCCATTCTCGTTTCCATTTCACATATTAATCGATTTAAACTTTCCCAACCTTAAATTATTTTTCTTTTCATCGTAACCACTTCACAAGTTTCTTGTGTTTTTCTCTTGTCATGTCCCCCTCTTAAACACGTTTTCTTTCGTTCTGTAATCCTGGGTTAATCTGCTAGAGATTCTCTCCTGCCTGCCCAATAGGCTGACACATCTAATGCTGCAGCCTGACAACTTGAGGTTTCTCTGGCCAACTTGGGGAGACATGTTTTGCGTTAACTAAAAATGATACTTTTACGTTTATGTGGGAAGGCAGGCCTAATGCTAGTTCAAGAACATAACGATAATAAGTATGTGCTAAAAACAAATACATTTGAAATGAAGAAATAGTTTTAAGGACTATTTCTATACACGATTAAAAGTAGCTGCTTAACATTCTTACAAAATTAGGGAGCGGGGGAACAGCTCACCAGATGACTAACACAGTTAACTAGTGGCTGCTAACTTTAATCAGGACCATCTGGCTGACAACAAACATATTTAGTCTAGTGATAATGAACAATTAGTTGATAAAACACATTAGGTAAGTAAATTGTAATACTGACAATGAAACAAATAGCTGACAACACATAACAGACAAATGACTTCTAACACTGACAATGAACAAATAGCTGACAACACACAACAGGCAACTTCTAATACTGACAATGAACAAATAGCTAACAACATATAACAGGCAAATGACTTCTAATACTGGCAATGAACAAATAGCTGACAACACATAACAGGCAAATGACTTCTAATACTAACAAAACAAATAACTGACAACACACGACAGGTAAATGACTTCTTATACTGACAATGAAACAAATAGCTGACAACACACAACAGGCACATGATCTCTAATACTGGCACTGAAACAAAAAGCTGACAACACACAACAGGCACATGATCTCTAATACTGGCACTGAAACAAATAACTGACAACACACGACAGGAAAATGACTTCTTTTACTGACAATGAAACAAATAACTGACAACACACAACAGGCACATGATCTCTAATACTGGCACTGAAACAAAAAGCTGACAACACACAACAGGCACATGATCTCTAATACTGGCACTGAAACAAAAAGCTGACAACACACAACAGGCAAATGACTTCTAATACTGACAATGAAACAAATAAATGACAATACCCAACAGTCAAAAGACTGACAATGAACAAACAGTTGACAACACACAACAGGCAAATGACTTCTTATACTGACAATGAAACAAACAGCTGACAACACACAACCAACAAATGATTTCTTATACGGACAATGAACAAATAACTGACAACACACGACAGGCAAATGACTTCTAATACTGACAATGAACAAACAGTTGACAACACACAACAGTCAAATGACTTCTTATACTGACAATGAACAAACAGTTGACAACACACAACAGGCAAATGACTTTTTATATTTGCAGAAAACAAATAGCTGACAACACACAACCAACAAATGATTTCTTATACTGACAATGAATGGCAGAGAAGTTTAGAAATCACCGACCTCCGATGAGTACCTGGCAAACTCGTGTCGCTCCTCGTCGTGTTTCGACGACCTCGAGCGATATGCCAGCCTGGCATTTAAGGCCAAAAATGCAAGCCGTTCTCTCCAGTTCATTCTTCAGATGTGGCTTCTCATACAGACCTAGAGAAGGTACAATTTCAAATATTTCCCAACAGAAACGATTTAAAAGTTTCATAGCTAGGCAGTCTTTATCGTCAAGCCTGGCATTTATTTAGCTGCTCTAGTTGGGTGTTTGCTTAAATCAGATGCCAGGAATGTCCGTCTAAAATAGTTTTGTCTAACACTATGAGACAGGTTGTCATAGATAGCACGACACTTGTAGACAAGCTGTCATAGATAGCATCTCACTGGGAGACGTTGTCATAAATAGCATGGCCCTGAGAGTCAGGTTATCATAGATAGAATGGCATTTGTAGACAGGTTGTCATAACATCTCACTAGGAATTCAGGCTGTCATAACATCTCCTTGCGAGACAGGTCTCCCTCGAAGACGGGTTTTCATAGACAGCATCTCACTGGGCGACATGTTGTCATAGATAGTATCTCATTAGGAGACTGGTTGTCAAAGATAGCATCTCACTGGGAGACAGGTTGTCATAGATAGCATCTCACTGTTAGAAAGGTTGTCATAGATAGCATCTCACTGTTAGAAAGGTTGTCATAGATAGCATCTCACTGTCAGAAAGGTTGTCATAGATAGCATCTCACTGTTAGAAAGGTTGTCATAGATAGCATCTCACTGTCAGAAAGGTTGTCATAGATAGCATCTCACTGTTAGAAAGGTTGTCATAGATAGCATCTCACTGTTAGAAAGGTTGTCATAGATAGCATCTCACTGTCAGAAAGGTTGTCATAGATAGCATCTCACTGTTAGAAAGGTTGTCATAGATAGCATCTCACTGTCAAAAAGGCTGTCGTAGATAGCATCTCACTGTTAGAAAGGTTGTCATAGATAGCATCTCACTGTTAGAAAGGTTGTCATAGATAGCATCTCACTGTTAGAAAGGTTGTCATAGATAGCATCTCACTGTCAGAAAGGTTGTCATAGATAGCATCTCACTGTTAGAAAGGTTGTCATAGATAGCATCTCACTGTCAGAAAGGTTGTCATAGATAGCATCTCACTGTCAGAAAGGTTGTCATAAATAGCATCTCACTGTTAGAAAGGTTGTCATAGATAGCATCTCACTGTCAGAAAGGTTGTCATAGATAGCATCTCACTGTCAGAAAGGTTGTCATAGATAGCATCTCACTGTCAGAAAGGTTGTCATAGATAGCATCTCACTGTTAGAAAGGTTGTCATAGATAGCATCTCACTGTTAGAAAGGTTGTCATAGATAGCATCTCACTGTTAGAAAGGTTGTCATAGATAGCATCTCACTGTTAGAAAGGTTGTCATAGATAGCATCTCACTGTTAGAAAGGTTGTCATAGATAGCATCTCACTGTTAGAAAGGCTGTCATAGATAGCATCTCACTGTTAGAAAGGCTGTCATAGATAGCATCTCACTGTTAGAAAGGTTGTCATAGATAGCATCTCACTGTTAGAAAGGTTGTCATTGATAGCATCTCACTGTTAGAAAGGTTGTCATAGATAGCATCTCACTGTTAGAAAGGTTGTCATAGATAGCATCTCACTGTTAGAAAGGTTGTCATAGATAGCATCTCACTGTCAGAAAGGTTTTCATAGATAGCATCTCACTGTTAGAAAGGTTGTCATAGATAGCATCTCACTGTTAGAAAGGTTGTCATAGATAGCATCTCACTCTCAGACAGGTTGTCATAGATAGCATCTCACTGTTAGAAAGGTTGTCATAGATAGCATCTCACTCTCAGAAAGGTTGTCATAGATAGCATCTCACTGTTAGAAAGGTTGTCATAGATAGCATCTCACTCTCAGAAAGGTTGTCATAGATAGCATCTCACTGTTAGAAAGGTTGTCATAGATAGCATCTCACTGTTAGAAAGGTTGTCATAGATAGCATCTCACTGTTAGACAGGTTGTCATAGATAGCATCTCACTGTTAGAAAGGTTGTCATAGATAGCATCTCACTGTTAGAAAGGTTGTCATAGATAGCATCTCACTATCAGACAGGTTGTCATAGATAGCATCTCACTGTTAGAAAGGTTGTCATAGATAGCATCTCACTGTTAGAAAGGTTGTCATAGATAGCATCTCACTGTCAGACAGGTTGTCATAGATAGCATCTCACTGTTAGAAAGGTTGTCATAGATAGCATCTCACTGTTAGAAAGGTTGTCATAGATAGCATCTCACTGTTAGAAAGGTTGTCATAGATAGCATCTCACTGTCAGACAGGTTGTCATAGATAGCATCTCACTGTTAGAAAGGTTGTCATAGATACCATCTCACTGTCAGAAAGGTTGTCATAGATAGCATCTCACTGTTAGAAAGGTTGTCATAGATAGCATCTCACTGTTAGAAAGGTTGTCATAGATAGCATCTCACTGTCAGAAAGGTTGTCATAGATAGCATCTCACTGTTAGAAAGGTTGTCATAGATACCATCTCACTGGGAGACAGGTTGTCATAGATAGCATCTCACTGTTAGAAAGGTTGTCATAGATAGCATCTCACTGGGAGACAGGTTGTCATAGATAGCATCTCACTGTCAGAAAGGTTGTCATAGATAGCATCTCACTGTTAGAAAGGTTGTCATAGATACCATCTCACTGTTAGAAAGGTTGTCATAGATACCATCTCACTGTTAGAAAGGTTGTCATAGATAGCATCTCACTGTTAGAAAGGTTGTCATAGATACCATCTCACTGTTAGAAAGGTTGTCATAGATATCATCTCACTGTTAGAAAGGTTGTCATAGATAGCATCTCACTGTTAGAAAGGTTGTCATAGATAGCATCTCACTGTCAGAAAGGTTGTCATAGATAGCATCTCACTGTCAGAAAGGTTGTCATAGATAGCATCTCACTGTCAGAAAGGTTGTCATAGATAGCATCTCACTGTTAGAAAGGTTGTCATAGATAGCATCTCACTGTTAGAAAGGTTGTCATAGATACTATCTCACTGTTAGAAAGGTTGTCATAGATAGCATCTCACTGTTAGAAAGGTTGTCATAGATACTATCTCACTGTTAGAAAGGTTGTCATAGATAGCATCTCACTGTTAGAAAGGTTGTCATAGATAGCATCTCACTGTTAGAAAGGTTGTCATAGATACCATCTCACTGTCAGAAAGGTTGTCATAGATAGCATCTCACTGTTAGAAAGGTTGTCATTGATAGCATCTCACTGTTAGAAAGGTTGTCATAGATAGCATCTCACTGTTAGAAAGGTTGTCATAGATACCATCTCACTGTCAGAAAGGTTGTCATAGATAGCATCTCACTGTTAGAAAGGTTGTCATAGATAGCATCTCACTGTTAGAAAGGTTGTCATAGATACCATCTCACTGTCAGAAAGGTTGTCATAGATAGCATCTCACTGTTAGAAAGGTTGTCATAGATAGCATCTCACTGTTAGAAAGGTTGTCATAGATACCATCTCATTGTCAGAAAGGTTGTCATAGATAGCATCTCAATGTTAGAAAGGTTGTCATAGATAGCATCTCACTGTTAGAAAGGTTGTCATAGATAGCATCTCACTGTTAGAAAGGTTGTCATAGATAGCATCTCACTGTTAGAAAGGTTGTCATAGATAGCATCTCACTGTCAGAAAGGTTGTCATAGATAGCATCTCGCTGTTAGAAAGGTTGTCATAGATAGCATCTCACTGTTAGAAAGGTTGTCATAGATAGCATCTCACTGTCAGAAAGGTTGTCATAGATAGCATCTCACTGTTAGAAAGGTTGTCATAGATAGCATCTCACTGTTAGAAAGGTTGTCATAGATAGCATCTCACTGTTAGAAAGGTTGTCATAGATAGCATCTCACTGTCAGAAAGGTTGTTATAGATAGCATCTCACTGTTAGAAAGGTTGTCATAGATAGCATCTCACTGTTAGAAAGGTTGTCATAGATAGCATCTCACTGTTAGAAAGGTTGTCATAGATAGCATCTCACTGTCAGAAAGGTTGTCATAGATAGCATCTCACTGTTAGAAAGGTTGTCATAGATAGCATCTCACTGTCAGAAAGGTTGTCATAGATAGCATCTCACTGTTAGAAAGGTTGTCATAGATAGCATCTCACTGTTAAAAAGGTTGTCATAGATAGCATCTCACTGTTAGAAAGGTTGTCATAGATAGCATCTCACTGTCAGAAAGGTTGTCATAGATAGCATCTCACTGTTAGAAAGGTTGTCATAGATAGCATCTCACTGTTAGAAAGGTTGTCATAGATACCATCTCACTGTTAGAAAGGTTGTCATAGATAGCATCTCACTGTTAGAAAGGTTGTCATAGATAGCATCTCACTGTTAGAAAGGTTGTCATAGATAGCATCTCACTGTCAGAAAGGTTGTCATAGATAGCATCTCACTGTTAGAAAGGTTGTCATAGATACCATCTCACTGTCAGAAAGGCTGTCATAGATAGCATCTCACTGTTAGAAAGGTTGTCATAGATACCATCTCACTGTGAGACAGGTTGTCATAGATACCATCTCACTGTCAGACAGGTTGTCATAGCATCTCACTAGGAGACAGGTTGTCATATATAGCATGTCACTGGGAGACAGGTTGTCAAAGATAGCATCTCACTGGGAGACAGGTTGTCATAGCATCTCACTAGGATACAGGTTGTCATATATAGCATGTCACTGGGAGACAGGTTGTCAAAGATAGCATCTCACTGGGAGACAGGTTGTCATAGATAGCATCTCACTGGGAGACAGGTTGTCATAGACAGCATGTCACTGAGAGACAGGTTGTCATAGATAGCATCTCACTGGGAGACAGGTTGTCATAGATAGCATCTCACTGGGAGACAGGTTGTCATAGATAGCATCTCACTGGGAGACAGGTTGTCATAGACAGCATGTCACTGAGAGACACTGTGGTCTGGGAGGCAGATCTAAAACAGCCAAGCAGCTGCTGTAGTGAGACCATGTTTTCAGCCAGGTCTACAGGAGTTTTGTGATGAGGAATGTGATAAGGAATGTGATGACGAATGTGATGAAGA